GAAGAGCGGGGGCGGCGGCTAGATGGGAGGGAAACCGAGAAACGACGAAATGACGGCGGTCGATGGACGGTTCGTTAAGTAGATGGCTGGTCGGAGGACTAAGCACCAAAACCACCTCACTGTGGTTTCACACCCGCGGAGTGTGTGTGCGAGAGAGAGAAAGAGAGAAAAAGATGAGGCTACAGCTCGGAGTTTCTTTGGTCAGGACTCGTGCGTTCTTTCGGTCAGGATCGATGACGATGGGGACTACAACTCTGCGATCTTTAAAGAGCAAGAAGAAGAAGAAGTCGTCTCCAGAGAATCGGTCAACGGCGACGACGCGAGCATTAGCGTGACGATCAGCTGTTCGACGCCGAATATCAAACCAACAAAGACGACTGACGAAATAGAGAAGGGTGACGTCGATCGTTATAGAGATTATTAATTAAATAACGATCGAGAGGCCATTTTTGGTTCGTTTGTCTCTATTCTTGGCACCGGATATTGGGTTCTTCGATATTAGATCATAGATCGCATGTGGATCAGTTCTTTCGAAAAATTTTCAAAAGACTCGAATCTAAAATCTTCCATTACTCATTATATTGTTGCAACATGAACGTGATTAATAATAATGTAGTGTTGTATCTGGAATAGCGCTAATTAAAATGTACATGTTTAAAACTGTCTGAAAAACAAATTCCAAACGTATGGTCACCGCGCGAATGAAACATTGCCAAGGAAAAGAAGAGGAAGAAGAGAACAGAAAAAGTCATCTTGAATGGAATCGAATGTCTCTCTCTCCTCTTCTCGTTCGTTCGCTCCTAGAGCGAGAACCGGATCGGGGGAAACGGACTATTATCCAACAGATGGTCCTGTGCCGACACCGATCTGACTAGAGTGGTGTGTTTGGGCCTTTGTTTTGTTACCGTTGTTCCGGTAATTGCGGCAAATACGCTGCCATTTTCGGTAATCAGCCCCTCGAGCGCCTTGCCAAGGCGGTCCCCTTTGAGAATTCCGAAACGACCTCGACCTTCCGCTCTCGGTAGGCGTAACGACAGTTTTATCCGATCGGTCCCGACCTCGACCTAGCCTCGTGGTAGATCGAGCTCGGCCGATTTCAGAACGATATCTCTAAAATTATATTACTCGTCACGCGCGTGTCAATGACTTGGATTCATGCATTTCTATTTAAAAAATTAGAATAGTGGTTCGGAAAAATACTTGGCATGAAAATGTCAATTTACAAATTGACAGTATCACAAATACAACGCAACAGCTGATATATTCCGAGAAAATATTATTAAATAGGAGATACTTATGTGTGTAGAAGATTATAAATGAATTTGCGAGAGAGGAAGATATTTTGCATATAAATAGTTTTCTTTCGTATGTGATACAGGTATTTCCCCACTGCTTGCACGCAAAAGAGGTAATTCCGATGAGTTTCGTGTTAATTTTCTCCGAAGCTATGTGCGAACGAAATATTTAGCATAACTGCAAGGTATAATTATCATTAAACACGTGTTGTGTTAACAGAGGTTCTATCAACAGTCACGCAGAGCAAGTCGTTTCGAAATCTCTTTCTGAGATATAATATATCTCTTTACGAAAAGACAGCTGAGATGAGTTGGCAATTTTTCACGACATAAACCTGAACTCTAAAGTTTCTCAAGACAAATTTTCAATTAATTCTTCTCTCAACATTTTTTTTTTCTTTGGGAACTTTTTTTCTTTGGGAAGATCTTCAGATTTTACATAAGAAAGCTTGGAGTAAAAAAAGAAATTTCGGAATGTGTGACAAATAATTATAAGTTGATGAAGGAATTTCGGAAACGAAATAGATGATGAACATCTTGAGAATCGAATTTTGTCATCAGCTGATCCCGATTCGCCCGTTGATGAGATTCATCATCGTCTTCGCGGATTTTCCATCAGTTTCTTTCGCTTGAGAAACGTTTTTATCGTTTCGAAAATCCCGGTACTTTATGATGCATATTCTAGTGATAGAGAGACGCAGGATAAAATAATATTACTAATACTTTCTACAAATAGAGTCGACCGATGCGCGGAATCGTGATTTGAGTTTCTTTCCTAGAAGCGAGGTCTAGTGGAGAGAAGAGAAGGTACGGCAGATTGCAATTATGAAACTTGTGATACGGTAAAATGATTTCTGCCACGACTGAAATACACAAGAATATTGCCATACTTGGCGTATGCAACAAAGGAAACCTAATACAAGAAGAGCCAGGAGAAAGATACGAAAGTCGTACGGACTATTCGATCGCGAACGATTAAGATTCTTTTATCATCGGAATTGTTACGCAATCACGTCGCTCTTTACTTGCTAACGATCTTAATCTTGTCGCGACGCGTGCATCTCACGAGACACACGCGTACGATGCACATACACACATTCACTACCAGCCGAGCGCTTAAAACTTCCATCGCGACTTCTTCGATTCGTGACTCATGTCAATTAATCTGCCGGTTGTTACTCACTCGAAACTCCGTTACCTCTCATGCGATTTGCTGCGCATTTTAAGAAGCGTGTTTCACGGCATATGTGCCAGCAATTTAGTTTTTGTTGAATTAATTTTTAAATATTGAATTTATTCACAAATTAAGAAAAGATATATATATATATATATATATTTTTTTTTTTGTTAATAATATTTTACAAGACAATGCTTTTTTATCTTTTATCTCCATCAAATCGTAATTTAACATCACACATAGAATACGAATTTTTAATATATATTATAAATGCAGAAATGTAACTTCTTAGTATTGTATTAAAAATTCGTATATATATACATAATAAATTCATTGTTTAATATCCTTCTATATATATACATAATTTATTAAAAATATAAGAGAAAGAATATCAAATAATGAATTTATTCAAATAATAAATTTATTAAATATTGAAGTTATTAAAAAATTAAGACAGGATATATATATATATATTTGTATGTGATATTAAATTACGATTTGATGGAGATAAACGATAAAAGTATTGTCTCATAAAATATTTATGGTCATTTTATTTGCACAATTAGTCGATTCTAAGGAAAAATAATTTCTTCTGTTACAGATACGGGTGTAGGTACCACGGAATGGACTTATCCATCTACAGCGCCGACTTATCCGGCTCCTCCAGTCAGCAGCAGCGGGTCCTATTCCCCTTTACCAGGCGGTGCGTTCTCGTATCCAGGAGAATCATTGTCGCATCATCCGACGACGGAACCGGTACCATTGCCAACCGGTATGATCAATTAATATACAATTCGATAAAAAACAATGCAATACAAAAAAGAAAGTGAACTAATTTACACCGCTGATCCGATAATGCAATTCGCCGACGCGTTGCTAATTAAGAAACACCTACGACGATTTAATTACATTCTGACGCATGATTCGTTCCAGGAAAAACTCCGCGACATGCAATCTCCGTTCGTAACGTGCAATCTGAAAGGGGAAGGGGAGGGGGGTATATTTAATTTGTATCTATTTTAGAAACTATATTACAGTCGATTCCCCAGATATGGAAACTCGTAAAGTCATCTTGCTAGTAATTTAGAGATGAAAATCACAATAAAATTCGAAATGGACGAAACATGTTTTACAGGCCGCGAGTTACAGCAACAGTAAAATCTTGGCAAAAATCTTCCACAAGAATGCAAATGTTATTAATAGATAACAATCGTTTTACATTCGCGCAATTTGTTCATTAGAAAATTTCCCTTATATAGGGCCTTGCAAAATTAAATTGTCTTCTCGAATGAAGAGTTGGGAAATCGAAGCGATTTTCTTTTTCGCTTGCAGTACTTTCTTCGGAGAATCAGCAGGATACCTATACGCCGAACTGCGTGTCCATGTACTCGGGACACGGCACTTCGCCGACCACCTCCTTGCCGCTGGTGCCGACCAGGCCGAGCGACCCTGACATCTTCGCCGGCAGTGGTACGGGCAATGCCGGCAGTCCCGGTTATCACTACGGTTCCTGGACACCTGGCCCGGCCACTCCGGTCCCGGTGGCCTCCCACAATTACAATCCCAATTATCAAGGTTACTACAACAATCCGAGTCAGAATTACATCACAGGTCCGACGCCTATGGTCCTCTATCCTCAGCTCTACAGCACCGTTAATCAGAATCAGATTCATTTACACCTGCATGGCGATCTGAGCGAGGAACAGGTCACCATAGCGGGCGGCAATCTCACCATCAGCAGCATCCGAGAGATCGGCGTGCTCGGGGAGGAGAGCGAGCAAAGAAACGATGTATGGAGACCATACTAAGAGAAGAAGAGGTATCTACCGATATGATTATACAAAATCGTCAGCGACATTATCGTGCGTGAATTTTTAATACGCGAGTTTCTGATTGTGGCAATATAATCTCTGATTAGTGCAGTGACGACATATAAATATCGACGAAGAAAGATAGCAGGATGTACGATGAATACTTTTTGGGAGGAAAAACGTGCGCGAGACACTCCATCATTTGCTGTCAGCCAACTCCTTCGAACATTCGCAACCATCCGTGCGAGTTGTCGCAACTGTGAGAACTCAGTTGGAATAAGCGATATCCGGTGTTTCGTAAGTAAGTGATCGCGTATGAAAGTGAAAATTATTGACTCGTTCACGTCGAATATGTGAGATAAAGTAGAGAAACTTTGGTTAAAAAAAAATAAAATGCACAACTTATGAAAAATCAACGAGAAAATCAACGGGTTAGATCTCGAATTTCTTTCGACTCATCTCGATTAATCGAAATGTGAGACTAATCAGTGACTATTCGCTCGTTTTCGATATAAAATTGAGCCGTGAGAATACCGTTTGATTCTTGATATTAGTCAAACGCTGTAACGTTGTAAATACACAAATATTTTCAGAAATGAAATAAAGTCTTGCCCGATAGGTTCCTAAATCCTTTTACTTAACATTTTATAAAAAAGTTTCACGTTGATATCAGAGCTAAAAATGATTCCTTCTACATGTATTCATACATAAATTAATTTTTTGAACTTTTTTGCACGAATTAATTTTAGAAAGGTACGATGAATAGAACAATACATTCTGATTGTCTTTTCAAATAGAAAAAAGTTTCGTTCGCATCATAAGGGCGAAAGGGGAAGGGAGGGCAACGTCGTCGTCTCTCCCATCGCGGGGGAACGGATAACCCTTTTTACGAGCGCAGTGAGCTCTATTTAATATTTAAAGCACGCTGGAAATGACGAACGGATGGATAGTTGCGGTCTGTCTGGTCGCGACATCGCCGGTTCGTCGTTCCTGCGTCCCTTTATTAGCGAGTCACCCTGTGCTGCTTCGTGTCAGCAAAATCTTTAAAGCTGTTTTGCCTAAATTAATCCAATGCTTTGTGCGCGATAATTTATTTATTTATTTTACGAAAAAATTTACAAATAAAGTAGCTAAATTAATTTATTTAAATCACAATTCAAGGCGCAATCGCTTCTAAAATTATTCGCATATTAATTGAAAAGTAAAAGGATTGGATAAATTATTTTCACATCATTTTCTAATCATTATATCCCAATTTTCAATTTATCTTGTAATGAATCAATCTTTCAGTTATTTAATTTATTAGATTTGGAAACTATGCAGAAATTTTAAATTAGAAATCCAGAGACGTAACACGCCATAAAAACGTACAGTCCATCGTATTCGTCACAGGAAATAATAGAAAATAATAGAAGATTGTCTCTTCTAAACGTACGTTGATGTTAAATTACTACGTGGCTAAGAACTTAATAAGCGTCTTCTCGGCGATTTTACCGTTTGACAATGTATATACGACGACGAAGTAATCTTCGTAACTGGAATCAAAGGTATAATAACAAGCTTAACGTCCATTTCTCAGTAAGTAACCCTCTTTCTCTCTCTTCTCTAATAATCGCATTGTTTGTTTCTGTAAATAACTGCAAAAAAAAGGAGTATCAGAGAAGCGATTTAAAAGACACAAGAAGAAATATCATGGTATTTTAATTATAAATAATCATACATATATAGTCTGTAACTTAAACGTTCTTTGTTCACTGAAAAAATCGAAATACCGTTTGAAGAGTGTGCATAAATTAAATACATTTTCTCTTCTTCTTTTGAGAGTAGATTAAACGGGAAAGAATACAATGACGTTACAATCAGAATCGCAGCTGATAATGGCCGCGGAAGAAGCCGAACAAAAATTTCTCCTACTTTGACGACTTTGCACTTAGAAGAGAGATCTCTTCGCTTTTCTCCTACTTTTCTCTCTCTCTCTCTCTCTCTCTCTCTCTCTTTCTCTCTTGCTTTCGCTCTTACTCTCTCCTCCTCTCTCTCTCTTTTGCTGCGATGTTTACAGCCCCGACGCATCTTGCGAATGGGACGCAACGAATAAAACCACGGAATAAGCCGAGGCGGTCGTCGCTCGTAAGCTTCTCTCTTTACGAGGATGACTCGACTCGCAGTCGACCGCAGACGAGAGTGTCTCCCGCCCTTTTCTGCGCCCGTTAAGACGAACTGAAATACGTTTCGTCTCGCAGGAAATGGTCGACATCTTTGGTACCAGCCGAGCATGGCCGATGGAAATAAATCGCGCGATACCCGCGACCTCGATCGAGAAAAAAACAGTCTTTTTAAGCATCCTAGAATCTCCTAAAATATTATTTTTGTGAGAAAAGATAATACACATCCAATCTTAATAACATATTTAACGATAAGGAAGAATTCACGACACAATTCAAGATATATTATCGATATCAGAAATTAAAATTAGATCTTAAAAAAAACATCTTCAAAGACACGTACAAAACGATAATTTAAATTTAAAATAATGTGTATGTACCTCGGATATTCGAATTTATTTATTTAACGTTCGTACACATCTTCATCAGATACACATTTCACTTGCAAACTGTCATATATATATATATCTCATGGACGCGCTTCAGCTGTATATTGATCTATAACGATTTTTCTCAATCATTTCTACTTCTTGTACATCTAGATGTATTTTTGAAGGGAAAAAACAAGGGATACATATAGGCACGTTTTATTATCAATTATTAATCCCTCCATTTTTAAACCATCTGATGCTCAACAACATTTACAACGTTTATGGAATATACCGTACATAGAGAAACATCGGAGATAATATCTGATATAATATATACATCACACAACGTTCAATTATATTATCTCTACGTGTCAATTGCACAAAACGAGAAATACAAATTAAATCAACAAATAATAAAATTATGGAACACAATGTGAAAATTGAATATTATACATTACGTTTTAATCTTAATTAGATTTACGCCAGCAATATGTCTCAATTACGTTGTATACAATAAAATATAGTCGCGCTCTAATATAATCCGCTGCTAACGTCTCGTCGAGAGATCTTTCATTCTATTCTTTCATGAGAAAACGGAAATGCGCGATAAATAATCGCGAGTATCTGTACCGGCAGGAGAAGCTGCATATAAAAAATGACGGTACGTTTCACTCCTGGAGAGATATCGTTTTGGCAAGTGAACAGAGAGGAGTGTGTGTGCCAATACCATCCGCTATTCACGAGACGAGTCGCCCGCGTTCTCAAGCTCTACGTGTTGGAAGCAAAAATCCGGGCGCTACACCCGGCACTACGACCGAACCGCAAACTACAGTTAAGCGCAAAGAGCATAAAATGAGAATCGAGGGATGTGCGTGCGGAATGGATCGTAAATAAAATCCTTGTCTCCGACGTGTCGACGCGGGGAGAGAAATGGAGATCCGCGTGCGGAAACGGGAACGCGTCGCACACATGTTTTTTTCATTTTCAAATTCGATATAATTTGCATCGATCCTATGATCTTCTCTCAATTTGATCGCGAATGAAATACATTAATGGATCCTGCTTCATCTCTCTCTCTCTCTCTCACTCTCTCTCTCTCTCTCTCTCTCTCTCTCTCTCTCTCTCTCTCTCTCTCTCTCTCTCTCTCTCTCTCTCTCTCTCTCTCTCTCTCTCTCTCTCTCTCTCTCTCTCTCTCTCTCTCTCTCTCTCTCTCTCTCTCTCTCTCTCTCTCTCTCTCTCTCTCTCTCTCTCTCTCTCTCTCTCTCTCTCTCTCTCCTCTCTCTCTCTCTCTCTCTCTCTCTCTCTCTCTCTCTCTTGGATTTTGTAAGCAATAGCTTCATCACAGTAACAATGAAGAATATGGAAAGAATAAATTATATATCACGAATATATCAAATCGTTCCTTTTTCGGCTTTTCCGAGAGTCTTATAATCTAAGGCTGCGATTGCGCGTAAAACGCGATCGCTATTAATTATTTGTCAATCCATAAAGCACGGCGATACGATGGAAGAGAGCCGAGAGACGCTGCTTCAGACTTTGATCTACGGCGTGCCTGGTTAGTGTTCGCACGCCGCCTACGAAAACCGGAAGTAACGGTGCCAATCGTTCATCCTGCAAAACAAGTACGTCTGGTGAAGAAACGATAAAATGGAATGTGAAAATAATAACGTAAATGATTTACAGACTTGTACAATTACTCATAAATACTTTTATTTGAAAGATCAAATTATTCACTCGAAGAAGAATGGTTATCTACAATTTCGAGATTGATATTAGAATCTTTTATGACGCGATGTAAGAAAGTTATATAATATATTGTACACTCACTGGCAAAGCTAAGGCCCATTCCAGCGCAGTGCTCAAGGTATCCGCCCATGCTTTCCTGTGGGCTTCGCTATCTTTATTAACATTTCTCCGCTGAAACTCCACCTCCTGATTGGCAATCGGCTGGCTCTCGGCTGCACTTATTTCCTTATTTCCTTCGTCCCGCAAAAAGGGATTCGTTCTAAAACCACGCTTGCTGCGTTCGTAATCGCGCAGCAGTTCGTCTATATTTTCAAGAATCTGCGAAGATTTAGTATTACTTTTGTCCTCCTCTTCGATACTTCGATTTGTTTCCGGTTCGCGAGGCTCACTGGATGTCGTCCAGGTTGGACGTCTCGTTTCGCGGAGCTCCATCACCGATCTCGGCCGAAGATCCACGGATTCTACGACCAGCGATGACTTATCTGCGTCGAGATCCGCCGTAGTGATGAACGTTAAGGATTTCCGTCTAGATAACGGACATACGTCACTACCGCGTCGTTTCGGATATGATTTCTGGTATAAAAAGTTTTCGTCGGAGAACGCTCGATTTCTATCGAGCATCTTCACATTCGCCATGATTCTCATGGAAGAGGCGTCGTTCGACTCTGTTTTCCAGAACGGCTCTAAATTACAGCGGAGATCGTCGCTATTGTATATCATATTGGGAGGCGCCGGTGTCACAGCATCGTACTTGGCATCGATATAATCCTCACTGGAGGTACCGCCGGAGCGATCGAGATAGACAACCTTCTCTGTGACCGAGCCGAGCCTGGACATCGGTCTCGAGTTGTCGGTTTCCGGCTCGGACTGCGGACCAGAATCAGTCGAGTACTCCGCGGCCAAGTCCGACAGTCTGAACGGCCTGGGATCATTCTCACATTCAGCTCCGAGCTCTTCCAAGCCGCTCTCGTCATCCAAATTCGGATTATACACGTCGACATCATCCGGATCATCCTGGTCGTCTTCTTGGTCGTTCAGTTGGGCATCAGGGACGTCTTCCTCCAACGAGCCGACAGGCGCCGGAGTGCTGGTAACGAGTCGATCGTCGATAGCCTCTTTTCTGGTGATCTCAGGATAATCGTCGGGCTGTGCCACCAACAAGAATATCTTTCTCTCCGTGAAACTATCGACCTTGGTGTACCTGCCGTCCTCGTCGAGGATCACCTCAACGTAGGTCTCACAGAGCTCGTCGAAGATCATACGTAGTTGTCGAAGATATTTGGTGAGCTTCCGATGCTTTATATCGTAGACGCACTCCCGATCGCTCAGTGCTGTCCCTAGAATGGTCTTAACCAGTTCCAAGGTTGCGTTTAGTTCCTCTATCTCGCGCAAGCACAGCTCCAATAACGTGATGATCTTGATGGTCCAGGCAGCAGCCGCCTGACGATATAGATTCGCCGGCTGCTCGAGATTCGCCACCTTCTGCACTAGAAACTTCAGGCCAGGTCGATAATCAAATTTCAACGCAGCGACGTAAGAGAGATCCAAGATGGAAAGAAAGATCTCCACGTGATGCGGATTTAGATGGGACAGGTAACCGCGTTTGACGTTTGGATTAGGCGAGCTGCACAGCGTCGAGTGCGGGATCACATGGGACAAGCTACGGAAACATGTCCTTCATGATTATTATGCACCTATGTTATTCTACATATATTTTTTTACTAAATTTTAAATTTATTAAATCAAACTATCAATAACTTTAATACACATTTTTCTGATACACACACGCACGCGCGACAAGTATATAATATTACATTATATAAATATTATCTAGTAATTTGTACTGCTAAAGATTTCGAAATAATGACGTACAAACCTTGAAATTGAGGTGCCGGCACCTTGTAGAAGGACACTCGCGATGCAATGAAGCAACATCTGGTGTACCAAAAGTCCGACCACTAACGCGCGCAATTGAACTCTAATGATGTAGAGATCGGGATTGAGAGTAGTACCTACGGCAGGAGGATACAAAAGGAACACGTACGATCTCTCGTCAGGCGACCGCGAAGCATCCTCGACGCGTGTCTGTTCTTCCAGAAGGAACACCTGAGGACACAATCGCGAATTATGAAATCCAAACTTGTTTCAAGCAGT